ATATATATATATATATATATACATATATATACACACATATATATATATACATATATATACACACACACATATATATATATATATACATACATACATGCATACATACGGGGCGGCTGTGGCACCTATATCATGACATATATAGGTGAACAGATTTGGCTCACTATTTAGCAACAAACTAATCAGTTCTGTCTCTGTCGCTTTTAATTAATGCATAATAAGCAGTTATTAATCATTTATAAAGAGTTTATAGAGGAATTAATAAAGTATCTATAAACTATTTATTAGCCATCCATAAGTGGAGCCTTATTGTGTAGTGTTGCCCTAGTTTTATATTTTATTAACTATTTGTTTCATAGATTAGTTTCCACTGTGTTTAGTGGTATGGAGAGGATTTGGTAAATTTTTGGACATGGGTCTGAGGAGCAGATCTGAGCTGCTCTGTGAAAAATGAGAAGTCTGCAGTCACAGCACACTCCAGTTAAGGTGTTATTGTGTGTGCTTTAAAACACAACAGGTGTGAAGCAAGAAGAAATTAACCATTTATTCCCCTGAGGATTTGCTTGCTTGTACTTTTATCATACTTGGACTGACTGGATGAGTTTGTGTTTTATTTACAAACGGCAACGATGAAGCTGGTGGCATGGAGGATTCTGTCAGTCCTGCTCCGTCTGCTTGCTGCTGTAAGCCACCCTCTGAGCATGATGCTGCCACCACCGTGCTTCAGACACTTTATCTTTGCACTATCAGAGCTGTTGAATTCAGTTTGACGAAGCCACATCTTTTAGTGTTTCCTATCATTAAAACCTGACTGACTGAGTCAGGATGGTCCTCCCCCCTCGGCAGGCACTCCTCCCTGCAAAAACCTTTGAATCAGAGAGACCATCGGGGTCTTGTTCATCTCCGTCTCAGGCTCTTCTCTTCAAGCTACTCAATTTAGCTGCTCTGCCAAGTTATTATTGAGGCCACTGTGCTCCTGGGAACACTCAGTTCTTTAGAGTTGGTCTTTTTCTGATCTGTGTCCTCCCACAGATTAGTCCTGGAGGACAGGGAATTGGACCATGGACCTGTTTTTCAAGTCTATGCCTTCATACACCATGTCCAAGACAATTGGGTTTCTCACATGTTGGTTCCTGACAAAATCTAAAAAGAACTTGTGGGTTTTTTTTTACATTAAACTAAATGTACCTGAGCAGCAGTGACTGTCGCTAATAAAGAGTTTCCTGCATCACACTGAAGAGGTTGATTGTGCCAAAACAAATATTAGTCCAATGTTTTACTCAAAATAATCTACTTGTTTTTTTATTTCTTCTTTATGTTGATCATATTGCTCAGAAGCTAAGCCTCTATTTTCTTGTTATTTGTTAATTGTTAGGCTTCTTGATCTGAGACCTGAGTTCAAATTTCGTACCATAAACAGCTCAATAAAAAAATCCTTGTATCCTTGAATTAATTTGAATGTACATTTTTTAAAGTCTGTACTGAATAGAATTTATTGCCATTTGGCACAGATATATTAGTATAAGCGCAGTGGAATTCTTGTATGTTGTTTGAATTAATTTTATTTTCATTAAACACTAATTGTTTCAGTTTTACAAGTGTGGCGATTTAGTATAGTCCCTAAACTTGTGGAGATGTTAGGCATTTATGTAACAAAAATATAATAATATATCATACATCTTAACTATCAGCAGTTTGAACATCTTTAATCACAGCCTGTGACAACAAGCTGGTCAAAACGATCTCGTACAAAGTTTGATTTTACAGGTTAAAAACAAATTTTAATTAAAATTGTGGTAAAAAATTATTGCAGTCTTTTTAAAACATGTAAATTCTCTGTTAAAGGCACTCATATTGAGTATTTCTACACATCCTAGTCTACTGCCTATATTACTGAAATTGTTCATTTTAGATTTAAAACAGCTGAGAAGGAAAACAACTTTCAGGCCAGCAGTCTGGGGTCAGAGGTCATCAACAAAATTTTCTCCAGGGCGTTGATCAGTTACATTTCTGGTAATCCAGTCATTTACGTTTCTGTCACCGAATCATGACATTTTCAATGTTGTGTTTTTAATATGTATTTTGTTTATTTTATTCTTATTGTATATTATTATAATGTTTTTTTCATTTTTAATAATTGAGTTAATTATTGAGTAAATTAATTATCAGTGAATTTTTATACATATGTTGTAAAAAATATAAAGTTTTACAAGATATGATAAATGCTAAATATAATTTAAAAGAAAATACGCTTGACAACATTAATCCATGAAGGAAGGCACTGATAGCAGTGTTTTCTAAAAGACAGGGTGTGGTAGACACACACAAAAAAGAAAAATTTCCAACAATGTACTCATAACGTGTACTTACTGTGTACTTACTGTGTACTTACTCCAACTGCAAACCAACATCCCAGAAGATTTAGAAATTCGAGCGCAGTTCTACAAGAAGATCGAATGCATTTACAACACTGGACTCAAACTGGGGTCTTCTAGTGATTCTCACATTTTATTGAGCAAAAGAGCCAAGGCATCCCAGCATGCTTAGCGGTACATTTTCTTACTGCTGTGTCTGAGTTGAGTCTGATCACACGCTGTGAGCAAGCAAACTGATCACTGTGCAAAACTGCACGAGTGCTTCGCAGGAAGGAGCTTGTGAGACGGACATGGTCCAAGGGCCATCACTTGATGACCACAGCTTCAGACAAATACCAATATTTTTAAATAAAAGATTTAAGCATGCTGCTCTCTAACAGTTTGTCTCTTCTACATATGATGTTAATGTTCAAACTATGAATATTAACAGAAAGTTTTGGAATTTTTTTCTAAATCATTGAGGTTTACTCCTAAGGAGAAGGGATATAATTTCTTTATCCAGTTATTTTATTTTATTCCTACAACTATACAGTGTCTGTACTTACAAGCATCAGTCATTTCAATCAGAAGATGTATTTGTTCGAACTTTGTACATTTCCCCCCAAAAGCTTAACTGTAGTCATTCTCTGTAAACTACTTTTTTTTTATTATTATTCCTGTTTTTAAATTTTTCACTGAAGAGACCAGTAGTTTTAAACATAATTTCCCCAAAGCAGTCCTGACGACACTTGTTAGCGTTGTTAATGATAATGAGTTGAAGCTCCAGTCCGCAGACTAATATCAGAGGCTGTCGCTGCAGAAACCCCATTAATTTCCCTCATTGCTCCTAATGTTCTGTGGTTGAACTCGTTTTCTTCTTCTTCTGCAGATCAGTCACATTATTCATGCCTCAGTCTCAGCTGAGCATATAATTTCTAATTACCCTGAGTAAACTATTGTTCATCAGTGGGATGCTTCGTGTGATTATTTAATTATTTAGTGCTGAAAGTCTAGTAAATAAGAAATCCCAGTAAAGAGCACGAAGGGCGAGGGATTAGACGACACGTGTCAAACCTGCGACGAGCTGCAGCTTCTGGACAGTTTGACATTCATTAGGATGCAACATGACTTGGATGTGTTTTTATTTAAAATACAAACTGATGCATTTTGACCACAGATTGAATGTCTTTAAGAAAGAATCTCAGTAAATGTGATCTATTTATTTTGTAACACTTGCATCAGTCATATATAATATAAAGTCACTGACTGCCCTCTGCTGTCTGATATTTACAGTGATGAACTATTTTGATCATTGGGATAACTTCAGTGTCTAACTTCATAAAAACACAGTTTTATTGCACTATTAGACATTACTGCCAAACTCTGAAATATATATTTTTTAAAGCCCGACGTGTCATATAACGTGTTTTAAGTCATTCCTTTCTTGTTACTTAATCCATCAGCATTATAATTCTGTAGCATTTATCTCCTTCTTTTTGACAGATACTGTAATGGAGCTCTGATCCAGCACCTTGTCCTCTGGTTTATAAAGCATCGTTGATGCTGTTAAGTGACAACACGCTTGTTATCCAGCCAATAAAACAGGCTTTACAAACAGGAGAGGCCTCATCTCTGACTGCGTTCGCTGGATGATTGCAAATCTACGACAAAACAAATCAAATTAAAAAGCCGCAAAACCTGAAACTGTAAATATCCTGCTGCCACAAAACAAACAGATTCTTCTCGGTTTATTCCAGTCGTGAGAATCCTTCACCATCTTCCTCAAAGGAAAAATAAACACACAAAATCCAGCTTGGAGATCAGGGTTTATTCATGCCACGCTGTGAAGGCTGTTCAGAGCTATTTAAATAATGCAGAGTCACCATTTTGTGCGTTTTAATTCTTGTTTGAGCAACATTTAGTTTGAAATAATCATTAATTTTCTTTAAAAATAACATCTGGGCTGAACTATGCCCACAGTTCATGAGAGAGCATTGCTGTAGAAACAAATAAAAACAATTGGAGTATAAATAGCTGGGTTAAATAGCTCAAATATTGGTTTAAAGGGGGTTTATCAGTTCAGCTGTGCCAACATCAACAACCAGTGTGAGGTCAAACTGGATGAGTGGATGTCGAGGCAGAGAAACTAACAGTCTGTTTGTCTCCTAAAGATCCTCATTGCACACATTGGACCAGATTTATTAATTATATAGTCAATGCATAAGAACAGTAATAGTGTGAATGTTGATGAAGCTTTCACAATATTGTTATATATTTTTCTTCCGTACGGGTAATTTTTGTGCTGTTTCAACAAATCTGTTATCAAAATGTTTAGGACAAACCTGCTGTGACTTTTAGTATTGGTGCAACTTTAGCTTTTTGAAATATTTTGCCTTTTCTGCCATTTTTTTTCTCATAGAAAATGAACTGAGCTCATTTTACATCCTTCAGATCTTTAGATGTGTTTACAACCTTTTACTGCTCCTTTCAATTTTTGTTCTGGTTCAGCTTATTTCAGCTTCTTTGTGCATAATTTTTTCAGCTATGTTCAGCTGTTTTTCTTTCAGCCATTTTGTGCTCCTTTCCAATTATTTCTGCTAACAACAACACTTTTGTGCTTCTAACTTATTTCTGCTAATTTCAGCAGATTTCTGCAGATTTCAGTGTTTTCTGCTATTTCAGCTACTATTTAGCTGTTTTATGCTAATTTTATTTTTCTAGCTAATTCCACATTTTTCACTCATTTAAACTTTTTTTCAGACTAATTAAGCAAAAAATGTGCTTGCGCCTGTTAATTTAAGCTTCTTTATGCATTTTTGGATACTTTTCAGCTGTTTTTTTTGCTTAATTAAGCTTTTTTTTTTTTCAGATAATTTCCACTTTCTTGTGTTCACTTCTGCTTCTTTCAGCCTAATTGGACAGGCATGTTTTTTCTTCTTCTTCTAATTAAAGCTTGTTCTACCTTTTTAGTGTTTTTTTTTTTTTTTTTTTACTTTTAAGCTTATTTCAGCTGTCTTCAGACTGATTCAAGTTTTTCGTGGTAATTTCTACTTTCAAATGAATCAACTTATTTCTGCTAATTTCAGTTTGTTATGCTCATTTCAGCTTGTTTCTGCTAGTTTCAGCTGTTTCTGCTATTCCAGCTACTATTTAGCTGTTTTGTGCTAAATTTAGCCTTTTCATCTAATCCCACATTTTTGGAGCTTATTTCAGCTCCTTCCACTTCCTTCTGGTAAATTAAGCTTCTTTCTGCCTTTTCAGATATTTTTTTGTTTGTTTGTTTTGTTGCTTATTTCCTAATTTTGTGCTCATTTCTGCTTATTTAAACCCAATTTAGCAAATGTATTTCTGCTTTCTTCTGCTAACTTAGGCTTGTTCTTCCATTTCAACTACATTTCAGCATTTTGTTAGCTAATTTCAGCTGTTTTTTTAAGCAAGTTCTTAAGCAATAAGCATTCACACTGCATTTTCGCAGGAAATGCAATTTCTCTAGTCAGCTTTATTATTCTAATGTTTTATTGAGAAACACAGGAAGGATTGATACGTTTGTGTGTAAGTTGAAAACAAGTGGGTTGTGTAAGAAAAATGTAGTTAATGAGTCGCAGCTCATTGGATTCTCTTTTTCAAAGTAGATGGGAAATGACGCACAGATCATTAAATAAAATGCAATCTGTTTTTACCACTGTAGCTGTTTGTATTTTTATCTTTTGTGTTTTCCAGGCCCCTGCTTCAACACCGTCTCCCCAACATCCTCTCAATCGTCTTTGTCAATATGGATTATCACACAGTCATTATGATCAACTACAGCAGCACTGAATCCTGGCTTTACATCAATACTTCATGCCCCAGTCTGTCAGGGACAGCCAGTCCAGCTAACAGCAGTGGTATGGAAGCATATCTGCAAAGACTGGCACATTTAGATGAAGGACTCTACAATGACTTCTACGGTCTCTGGGTCGCACTGATTATCATCAACTCTGTCATTTTCCTGGTAGGAGGTTTTCACTGACACATGTTGGTACCTCAAAACTCATATTTACAGTATTAGTCTAATTTTCTTCTCTTTAATTTTGCATTTTTCCTTCTTGTTTTCCAGGTGGGCATGCTTCTCAACACAGTTGCGCTTTATGTTTTTTGCTTCCGCACCAAACAGAAGAGCACGTCAGTAATCTACACCATTAACCTGGCCGTGACGGACCTGCTGGTGAACCTGTCTCTGCCCACCCGTATCCTGCTCTACTGCAGCAGAGGTTCCTGTGTCACGTGCTCCTACATGCACATCTTCAGTTACTTTGTCAACATGTACTGCAGCATTTTGTTTCTAACCTGCATATGTGTGGACCGGTATCTCGCCATTGTGCAGGTGAGTGCTGCCCATAGCTCAGGTTTAAAGTGGTAGTTTAGATTTTTAACGGTGAGGTTCTGTGGCATGTGAAGTGTCGGGGATGGGAGTCAGCTCCTCTAAGTCCGAGGCCACGGTTCTTAAACGGAAACGGGCAAAATGCCTCTCCAGTTCAGGGAAGAGTCTTTGCCTCAAGTGGACGAGTTCAAGTACCTGGGTGTCTTGTTCTCGAGTGATGGTAGGATGGAGTGGGAGATGGATCAATAGACTAGGGCCTTATCCCAGTAATAAGGGTGTTGCTTCATTCAGTTGTGGTGAAGAAAGAGTTGAATAAAAAGGCGAAGCTCTCCAATCCTCACTTATAGCCATGATGTTTGGATTATGACTGAAAGAACAAGATCCCAGATACAAGCAGCTGAAATGAGCTTCCTTCGCAGGGTGGCAGGGCTCAGCCTTAGTGAGCGAGTGAAGAGATCTGTCATCCTGGAGGAGCTCAGAGTACAGTCGTTGCTCCTCCACATCGAAAAGAGTCAAATGAGGTGGTTCAGGCATTTGATTAGAATGTCTTCTGGACGCCTCCCTTTAGAGATGTTTCGAACATGCCCTAATGGGAAAAGCCCTCGGGGCAGACTCAAAACTCGCTAGAGGGATTGTGTATCTTTTCTGGCCTGGGAACACCTCAGGGTCCCCCAGAAGGAGCTGGAAAGTGTTGACAGGGAGAGGGATGTCTGTGTTTCTCTCCTGGACCCATTGCCTCTGCAACCTGATTACAGATAAGTGATAGAAGACGAATAATAGAGATGGGGTCCGTGGACGTGCTATGAACACTTAAAATATTACCTGTTGTAGATAACTTATTGATCAATGTCTCTTAGGAGGAATGGAAAATAATTCTGACAGATTCATGGCAGAAACCCACTTTTGTCTTAGATCTGCTCAGACTAGCCTTTAGTTACAGAATTTGGTCCGAATTAAACTTTTATTTCCGCTAACTGAAGCCATTTAAAAAGCCATCTACAACAGGTAAGATACTGATTGTTCTTAGACCTCACTTCAAATCTGAACTATCGCTTTAACGCTGAACTATCTGAACTATCTGAACTATCTGAACTATCTGAACTATCGCTTTAACGATTTTCCTGAGTGACTATTGAAACTTTTACACCGTTTGGTTTAAAAAAGGATTCTAAAGTTTCTTAATTGCCGTTTTGTTTTTGCAGGTTGAAGCTTCTCGTCGTTGGAGGAACTCTGGCGTAGCCAAGTGTGTGTGCATTTTTGTCTGGCTCTTTGCCATCGTGGTCACCTACTCACTCCTTTCCACTGCCTTCCAGCACACAGGCTGCTGCATTTCCAAGCTCCTCTTCCTCACAATCACGGAGTTCTTTTTGCCCCTCGTCATCATCGTGGCCTTCACACTGCGTATCATGTGGGCCCTCACCGACCGGCGCCTCATGCAGCAGAGCAGGTAGAAGCGTGCGCCAACAGATGAAATGGAAGCAGACATTTTAGAAAGCATGCAAGTGACGCATGTACTGCCCAAGATTATTTTAAATCTCTTCTACAGAATTCAAATCACTGCACGTCATGATATCATATGGGTGATTTAAAATAATTTCTTTAGGAAGAGGAGGAGGAGGGCTGTCCAGTTGTTAACCACTGTACTGATCATCTTCACCGTCTGCTTCACACCTTTCCACATCAGACAGGTGAGTGAGGGACTCACGTCTGCCCATCAGTCTGTTTGTCTCACAATACAGTTTTTATAGACAGTGTCACTATAATAAGTATGTCTGAATTTCAAAAGCATGATGAAAAAAGTAAATTTTTAATATTCATTGTTTCATGCTGCCATTACAGACAGTCATGTCTTTGCGTGTGTGTGTATGCGTGTATTTGTTTGTCTATTCGCAAAATAAATGACTGGATGAGTTTTAATGAAACTGTCAGAAACTAGTCACTGTATGTATATCTATAACTTTTGGAGTCAACAGCTAATCTTCATTGAGCACATAAAAAGCTAAAACTCAGGCAGTTTGATAGATTTTGAACCAACATTTGATGTGGTTGTAGCTGAGAGTCATCCTCAGCCCATACTCCGAGCTTTTACAGGCATGCAAAGTAGCTGTGTTTAAGCTATTATTAAGTATTTAAAGTAGAAATGAGGACCCACATAAATTCAGGGTTTATTATAGTAAGAAGCCAAAACAAAAAATGCATGTCTTTTTAAATTACAGGTGGAACAAATACAGTAGTACAAAATAAGTGCACGCTTTTGTTGTTTGAAGAGTTGAAGAAGCAGCTGTTTTCTGAGTTCTGAGCAGATTTTAATTAACCAAATTTCCTATAATCATGCTTTGTCCCACTGTGCCCACTTTAACCTGTCCTGTTGGAGTTGTAAGAGTTTGTTTTCAGAGCCTTTTGCTCATATGCATTTGGGTTCTCACTCCATGACAGAATGATTGTGATGGTCTTTTTCATGTTACAGGTTTTGGTGTATTTCTACCCAGACATGCCCCATCATGTGATTGTATACCATTTAACCGTCACTCTAAGCAGTTTGAACAGCTGTATGGATCCTGTTGTCTACTGTTTTGTAACAAATAATTTCAAGGTAGGTTTGTCCTTTAGCTCAGTCGACCTGAATCTTGGCCTCTCTATCACCCACATCTATCCCTCCCCGAAGCTATAATTTGTCCATTGATCACCCACTCATTCAATTTATTACTCACTTAAATGTTTTGTTGCTGCCTCCAGGCCACCATGAGACATTTTTTCCATCGTGCCGAGCCGGAGCAGACCAGCGGCGACAATGTCAGTATGCAGCGCAGCTCCAAGGCCTCAAGAGGGGCAGCCGATGCCATCACTAATGTTAAAATCACCATGACCAAGATTCCCACTGCACAACAAAAAGACAATGATGGGACGGATGGCTCACTGTAACACTGTTCATGGAAATGGTGCTTAGCACTGAAAGTTACTGAGACACAGTGACATTATGGCATTTGGAAAGATTTATTATAAAACTGGGAAAACACTTTCAGCTCAGGATGGTCCAGTTAAGCTATCGATGATTCCTACTGAACACCAACCATTTAACCAAAATGAGCTCAGCTGGTTATGTAGCAAAAACACAACAGAACAATAAACTGTATCAACTACTTGAACAAGAAGAAAACGTTTGTCTGCGTCTGCATCGAAGCTCCTCGAAAAAGAGTGACAAGTCTTTTTATCACCTCGGACATGTGCCTATTCATTGTTTGAACTCCTGGATAATAAATCCTGGTAGTGAAATATTATCTGCAAAATTCACAATGAAAATGATAACATTGAAATGAAAATATTGCTTATTACAATGCTGATTCCTTACCTGTATCATCCTCATTCAAAATGATCTCATGCTTTTTGCAGAGATTTTGTTTGCTTTATGTCATCATGCTTTCAAACTTTGATTTTGGCCATATATATAT